CCCGCCACGATACCCGGAACTCTACAGTCAAGGCTATTGGCGCGCAGGCGCATTAGCAACTTTTTCGTTGCGGATGGCTTAGCGGAGGGGGAAACGCGGTCTACGAAAGCTCCCTAATATGTCGACTGCTACGCTAAACACCCTTTGAACTGCGGCTATGGATGGGATTGGCATATTGTGCCTCACGAATGTTTTATGCTCTGCATTGATCTTTTTCAGCAAAGCAATGGAAGTACTATATTTACCTCGAAAATAGAGCAAAGCTTCCTGGTTGCAGCCGTTGCCTGATATTCTAGAGTTTTAGTAGATCGTTTCGACACCTCCGATGCCCCCGAGAACGACATGATGAATGCGCAAAAGCGGCGCCGGAGTATCGGGTATCGTTATCGGAGTCATCGGACCGATCTACTAAAATTCTCCATTGTCGAAATCGCGAAGCTGTAGAAGTCGTCATACATGTAGCCAAAACTAGAATACAAATTGATTTATGTCCAACTTATTATACCGGCATATATTGCCAGACAATCGCAAATCATAGTAGTAACAGTAAGGTGATAATTAAATAATAGATAAGGTTTGCCTCAATATTCTTCTTCCTTTGGTTCTGAACAGGTCGATCCTCGGATGAGACGTTGGTGAATAAAAAAAAAAGTTCCAAGTATATAAATTTAGGTAATCGAAAAAAGGACATTTATAACAACAATTAATTAGAACGTTGGTTAAAACAAGGAAATGTAAACGCACGTTTGTCGTGTGTATCTTTCTTGGTGCCGTTAAAAAACCTACGGAGCACGAACCGACCGCAGTTTACTCCGGTGTTCTCCAGATAGACGTCCGCTGATGCCACGTGCACCGAAGGACAGAGTACTAAGTAAGCTGCGCTATGGCCCCACTCATGAATTTCACTCTCCGCTCAAGCCTAGAATATCAAGTCTACGTCAGCCATTATCATGTTTATTTGTAAAAGTATCTGCTTGAGATAGGGTGCGTCCTGCTGGGGTAAAAAGAGGAAGAAGAAGTAAGACTAGAAGTAAAACTATTACCATTTTCGAAGTGATCGCAAAAAGCTGCTCACAAAAAGTGTGACTGAGAAGGAGATAACCTGGCTGTAATTCAATTCACAAATAAAGCGGGTCAACCCTAGAAGTTGAACTACAAAAAAGTAAGTAGCTTTTAAAACAGGGTCAATGGGGTGAAAGAAACAGAAAAAAAATACATCTGGATTTCTAAGAGAAGATGGTAAGAGTGGAACTTGTGGAGCTTGTGGCAGTAACACCTTCACATATTATCACATCTCTTTTAGTGGTTTTTAGGGTAGACGGAGCGTTGTCTCGTGTTGTGACATTATAAAAATGGTCGTAGTCACTATAACCGAGGACATTGTTAATTCTTGTCTGTGCACTTACCGCCTCGAGCTTCTCGAAGAGGCACACAATCACTTGGTGACCTCCTCTCCCCGTCTTCAATCGCAAAGAAAAACAAGGAACTAAAAAAAGCGGAGATAACTTGCTCCCCCCCCCCCCCTTAATTTTTGTAGAACTGCCAATTTGGAGTTTTTGACTGTTAGTGTAAAAAAAAAAAAAAAAACATAGATTCAGGGGCTTGGTGTTGCAAAAAAAGGGTTGGCGGAACTGAAGAGTGCCAAGCCTCCCTTTGCGCTGGTCGATTCTCGTTGACAGAGTCACTGCGCTCGACTTTACAAAAAGAGATTTTAGAGAAAAGAGAGAAGGGGGGGGGGGGGGGTTGGTCCCGAAAAAAAAAAAAAATGTAACGGATTAAAAGGAATCCGTTACGTCAAAAATGTAAGGAAATTACTTTAAAATTACTCTAGAAAATATGTAATTATTCCGTTACTAAATTACCGATAAATGTAAGGGATAACAAGTAATTTCATTACTTGTAACGGATTATGTACAAGTCTGATATCATTAACGTATATAATGTCAGTTGCATATTAATAAAGCTATACAGGCAATTCTGAAAGGAGACTCAAACGTCTGAGGCCTGTAGTCTCCCATCTGAAGAAAACGAGCGTCCGAAAACGTTATAATGTTTGCTTTTTCTTCTCAAGCCATGCCGTAGTGCAACCACCTTCTTTTTTTGCTTTTGCTTTTTCACCAATAAACTTATTTTCACTCATCCACGTCGCGAGGGCCAGTCTGTGCACGTTTCATTGTTGCAAAACTGATCACAATACTTTTGGGTTTTGTTGTGAAGTCAGGAGGAGGGAGGTCTGGTTGCCCAAATTAGTGACGAAACTGTTATGACGAAACTGACGAAACAGCAAAATCCATGACCGGAGTCATGGGTTTTACTGGCGAAGGTGGATGGACGGAAGAGAAAAGAATTACGTCAAAAAGAGGCGATTAGAAAATTGGTGGAAATTGTCTAGGGAAAATTGAATGATGCACAACTAACTAGCACAACTGGGGACAGGCGGGACAGAGGAAAATTGGGACTCCCTCCTGCGAGGTTCCGTCCCAAGGTCTCAAACCTGTCTCCCAGTGAGTCCCGTGCGGGGTAACGCCGGCAAAGTTTGACTAGAGGAAAATTGGCGACTCCCTCGCCGGGGCGAAGAGGCTCGGGATGATGTTGTATACAGTCTTTTTTTTTTTTTTTTTGCCTGATCCCCCAAGGGTCATTTGCTGATATCCCACACAGCCTGGTGATAGTTAGGGGGAGAAAATTGACTGAGAAGGGCGGGAGGAATCATATACGTTTGTTTTTGAGACTTAGGTTAGGTGGCGCAAGCTACCGCCCGTTACGAAGGGTATAGCCATTCATATCCATCCATCCATCCATTCATCCATCAACCGTCGTCTACGGTTTTTTCAAAAAATGTGTAGCATCAACGAGGTCGCCTGTTTACTTACTTCTTTTTTTTAACAATATTTATACTGATTTTAGATTATCTTCCGTTTTAGCCACCTTGATTTGTTTTTACCTTAACTACGCTTTGTAAAAAAAAAGTACTTACTAAGCGCATATGTCTGACTTTTTTTGTATTTTTTATGCTTGCTAGCCGCATTGGCACTGCAAGCGGGAAACGCAAGCTCGCCTCACTGCGTTGCGAAAACCCTATTCTATAAGCCGGCGACGCCCTCGTTGCGTTTGGGTCACCTAATTTCTTAAGGCCCTGTCACACCGAGGAAACACGACGGCAACAGCCGCACAACCAGTTGTCCAACAGTCGGGCAGCTTGTTGCTCGCTCTCCGTGTTGTCGACAGATTTATCACATCGCGGCAACAGCAGCAACACGGACGACAACGAAAATGTTGCGTCGGTATGACAGCTTTCGGCAACAAAAACAGCAGCAACTTGTGTTGGACAACGTGTGCTGCCCCCATCGCTGGCTCAGCGAATTTCGGGCCGGCAACACGACAACACAGATAGCTTCGATGGCAGAGCTACTTCCTTATCAATAGTGTCTAACTCAAATAAAGGCTTGGAAAACGTTTTTCAACAATAATTAAGCCCGGTGCAGCTAAAATAATTGAATGTTCTTACTGCGTAATTACGGAAAGCGATTAATTGTCAAAATAGTCACACTAGGGTCGTGAACGTTCAGACTGGAGTTGAAATTATGACTGCCGAGAGACCGGCTCAGATTACTGCTAGTGGAATAAAATGGCGTGCGTTTTCACCTGCTGATAAAGTATAATCAAAATAACCCAGGAAAGCAAAGATTAAAAAATCAAAACAATATAAAAACCACTCTGATCATGATTGTTGATGCTTGGAACTTGGAATCAGCCGCTACCAGACACCAGATTTGTTTTAAAAATATCCAGGTCGTTTTGGGGTATGAAGTGATCACATATTAGGCGGTAGGTACAACGACAGCATCGAAAAATATTTGTTCCACTGATTGTTATGAAGGCCGATCGCGTCGGTGTCGCACTTTTTAAGCATTGTCAGTCAGGTCAACACCACGCTACAAAAGGCGTTTTGGGGTACTGCCGGTGCTAGCTCAATTTTACAGTAGAAATAGGAATTGCATGGAGGAAAGAACCGGACAGAAACACTTCATACGGTGGCGTAAACCCTGAACATACATCAGCGATCTCACTTTCTTGGTTAGGGTTATCTGCTTTGTCCGCGAATGAAGAACCGTTTTATAAAATAAAGGGTGGAAAATGCACCCCGTGTCAAGCTTTCTAATCAGTCACTGGTGGGTCGGGTGTTCAGACAACAAATCGGCCAACACGGTGGCCGGGCGGCAGCAACATGCTGCCCGACTGTTGTTGTTGCCGCGATGTGACATGGTCGCGATTTCCTCGTGTTGCCGGATAAACTTGTCCAAGAGTTGCCTCAGTGTGACAGGGCCTTTAGGGGCACCAAAACGTTGGGTATTCTAATACCCCATTCACACGGTCAACATAAAGGTACCTTTAACATAGGTCCCTTTGCTATCCGCGAATCAGCCCGTGCTCTTGGGTCGCGAGCACAGGCCACGAGGGTAGCTTTACCGTCGTGTGAATGGGGTATAAGACCCTCTTAATATTGCCCGGTCGCATTTTCGATTGCGGTCGCTGCATACAATAGAGTTTCGCCTGCATCGCGCCATGACTCATTTCCAAGTTGCAATCACGTAACCGTAAAGCCGCGCACACACCGACCGAAGTTGCATCCGGTAAGCGCAACCGCGCCGTTCTTCCAGGTATATCTACACGCGCTGAAGCGATAAAAAGAAAACGAAAGCAACGTCAAAGCGAGAACAGCGCGCCGCAGGAAGAGGCAGCAACGAGGACAACATTGCGCAACTCCACCACAAGCCTTCGCGTCACCACTTCAAGGCCGCCGCTGACCTGACGCTTGCACGGAACAAAAATCTATCCTCACCCACGTCACCGTTACAACTGGCGCGCTGCCCATTGCATTTCTCACTGGCACCGGAATAATAGAGCTTTTTAGTAGAACGCCAAGGTCAGACGCATCCTTCCACAAAAACAACGGAAACCGCCCCAAAATATATGGTGAACGAGACGCGGATACTCACAACATTGAGGATGGCCAACACTTTGGTGCCTGTGCGGACCGTCATGCAGCAGCAGTGCGTGGGGTACGCCATGATTCTCTCCTACTCCAAGCTCGGTGTCGGACACGAACAGCGTAAGATTATTTTTCGCTGCTCTTTGCGGCGGAAAACACACGGACGACCACATCAACCACATCCAGCGACAAATGCGCGGCACTCGGTCGAATATAATGAGAAAGGAGGAGCAAAGCAATAAATAAATAGAAACGCGAAGGCGCGACGGTGATGCCAGTCCCGTCTGCGGTGGAGGAAGGGTGCGCCACCCTTTCCCTTCGACAGCGCTACGGCAACACCATCTAGAGGAGAAGTCCAAAACACGCCTCCTGCGACGTCACGGAAGTGGGCTGACGTGCGCAGCGCTATAGCGCTGAGCTGAAGGCTTCACGCGTAGCTTTAACGTCGTAGAAACGCGGGTTTTCGCACTATTTATTTTTTTCTGAGCTCACACGAGAGATGTGAATTCCAAGTGATTTAAATAACGCATTTTAGAACGCAAGAAAATGTTATAACCTACAACTATTGTGCTGAAATACAAGACAGTGATATCTTGAGACAGATGTGCTATTTTTTAAAGCGATAAACTGGGTGGTGTAATTGTCTCTGAACGACAAGGGAGTTGTATAAAAAAAGAGTTCCTATGAAATAGCAATAATCGAAGTAGTGGGACCGAGTAAAACGAACTACAGGAACAACCGGCTAAATGATGCAGACGTATTCATTTGATTTTATTCACCCCAGAGGCATCCGAAGACGCATTACAAGTGGGGGGATTCAGAAATAAAATACAAAAAAGTAATTGAACATAAAAAATAAACAAGCAAAAATCACACACACAAAAAAATCTATTAGCATGTTATTGTTATAATGCAGTTTTACAAACCAAGGTTCACAGTTACACAAACTGATGCACTTCTTTTTAAAGGAAATGGGACTGCGCTGAGTTACAATATGGCCGGGTAGTTTGTTCCAGTTAGTGATGCAAAGTACTGAAGGATAAAGAGGAAAGTGTTAGTACGGCACTGAAATGGTTCAACCTTGCAGGAATGATCTAATCTGGATGATACAAAATTGGCAGGCCGGCAGTAACTAGATTAAAAATCGGAATTTGAGTAATGTACATCTTCGAAAAAAACACAATGAGGCTCTTTTTTTTGGCTACTTTCGGCGGCCAGTTGCGGCTCTCACAAGTGTCGCACAGACAGGTTTCCGGGACAAAGCGTGCTCGTTCTGCAAGCTGGGTTCATGTATCTTTAAATGCCGGGAGCGGGTAAGCTGACTGAAAAGAATAAAGAAACATGGAGAGCAATTACCTGAACCCCTGCACAAGCTGGCCTCGGGGCAGCATTTTCAGAGCGGCTTGCTACGAGCGGACTGCCTGCCCAAGAGCAACTTTACATTCGAGAACGATGCTTTCAGTTTTTGGAGAAACTGGCGAATGAAATGCAAGCGCGCATTCCTAACGCAACATCTGCACTCCGGGGGCTTCAAGCAATCAGCCTAAAATTATAACATGGCTCAATTCTTGACGGGAAATTTTCAGTTTGCCTTCTCACCTTTTCAGCCCCTCTAAGAATAAGCCGGAAGAAGAGATCTGGCTACACTGTAAAAAAAAAAATCGCGTCAAATTACTAGCAATTGCCAGTTAATTTTTGATGCCGGTACAATTTCTGTTGCCTTGCATCACGGTCCCAGCAACTAGGTATTACGTGCATGACAGTAATGAGGCCCTACGGTTTCTGCTTGTAACTTGACCCGTAGAAGCATGGCAGAAAACCGTCACTCTCATGCACATGATCCACAGATACGGGAATCGTTCCGGCATAAAAAATTATATGGCGTATTGTCCGTAACTTGCGACGGCAGAAAACCGTAACACTTAAAGACTGAGCTGCACGTGATGTGCAACGACGGAAATCGTTCCGGCATCGAAAATTGGCTGGCGTGTTGTCCGTAAGTTGCGACGGCAAAAGGCCGTAAATCTCAATCACTGAGCTGCACGTCATGCGTGACAACAGAAATCATTCAGACATTAAAAATTAGCTGGCGTGTTGTCCACACCTTGCAGCGACGGCCAGAGCCTGTTGAACTGCTAGCTGCAGTGACTTAACAAAACGGACGTCTCAGTGAACAATAAATATAGCATTTTACTGGTATATTTATTGTTCACTGAGATGTCCGTTTTCTTAAATCACTGCAGCTAGCAGTTCAACAGGCTCCGGCCATTTCTGCAAGGTGCGGACAACACACCAGATAATTTTTAATATCGGAATGATACCCATCGTCACGCATGACGTGCAGCTCAGTGATTGAGAGTTACAGCTTTCTGTCGCTGCAAGTTACTGACAACACGTAAACTAATTTTCGATGCGGGAACAATTCAAATTAAATATTTAGTGCCCAGGCAATGTCACTAGGCGGTGGGCCCAAGTTACTTTCAGGAGTTCACGCCAGCCGCGCATCCCAGAGATTAACAGCTGCTTAAACACTGTGTTAGAAATTTCGAGGAAGTGCACAGAAGATACGGTATTAAGTAAAACATGTTCATACCTTCATTCTTAAGAAATAATTAGTGGGCCATGTCCAGCTTTCATGTGGAAGGCAATCTCCAATTTCCTGAGCAATCAAGTCCATATGAAGAAGTACAGAACCTGGAAAACAAAACAAAAAATTTTGTATGTGGTTAGGTTATGAACAGAATGTGATAACAGAATAAAGCACACAATTTCCGCAAACTGTAAGTTACATGCAAGCGCACTGAAGGAGCCTCAGCTGAACTTCTGGCGTGCACTAAACAATGAAACCAACTTGCGACTTATGATACGAAACCATTTTAACAAGGGAAGTTCGAAAAATGCCTTTGAAGACAGAATTGTCGCGTCCAATGAGTTACTTCAAGCCTGTTGTCACGAGTTAATATCAGAAGTTACTGCCAACTGTGCCTCCCAGACATAATTAAACACCGTGTTAGTAGGGTTCTGCGAATATTCGGAATTTCGAACAGTAGTTTCAAGTAATACATTATTCTATATTCGCTTTGAAAAGAACGGTACTATTCGTGTTTTTCTAAGTGTTGCTTGCTGCGGACTAGTCCCGCTGAGTGCGCTTCTTACCGAGCACCATTGCACTGCGGAGATGCAATACCCGCGGAAGCGAGCACCGCGTGTGTTGTTTCTCTGCATTACATTAGTGCTCGCTAAGAAGCCCACTCAACAGGATAACCCACCACGATGAACACTTGGGAACATAGAAATATCGCAATTGCGTGCTTAGAAGAAAAGCATAGTGCAATAAACGCGAGATCGTGCACGCGTGCCGGCTGTATTTGAAAATAAATGGAAGCTTTGTGAATGTGTATATACTTCGTAGTAAAAGTTTCAAAATTAAACTGACTGTTATGCAAGAGCATACTATATTAGGCAGAGATGCCCTTACAATCTGCGTTCCTGATGCGCGATTTATTCTTTCAGAGTGCAGTTCTTAGGCGCCCGTTTCCGGTTTTTTTTTTTTTTTTATTCGTGAAATGTGCCACGCGGCATAATAGGGGGGGGGGGGGGGGGGGGTTAAAGAAAGGAGTGCAGTCCAGCGTCGTGCAGGAACTGCAAAAGCGACTTGAAATACTTGTTGTCATTCACCCATTGGGCGTAGTTATCGTGTGGGTGACCCTTTAGCCCGGCCTCGCTAAGTATCTTCTCACGGGTGGTCTTGGTCCCGGAGCAGAGCCACAGCAGATGATGAGCATCCGCCGAAGCCACAGGGGCCGGACACTTAGGGCAGGTTCCCGGGTCGGCAGGTGTGTGTCCCCAGGTCCATGTAACGGAAGGTGTTAGGGCCGCCCCAGCCCGAAGCCTCCGGAGAGAAACTTCCTCCACCCGGGAAAGGTTACGGGGAAGGGAGCAGACACACGGAGGGATTAAAGCGCGTGTGTCCCGTCTGAGGAGGTTTTTCTGGGCAATGAGGTCGGACCGGGGATCAGAAGGGAGGGAAGCGGGTGGGAGGTCAAGTAAGGGCTGAGTGTGGTGGGCGTGGTGGTCAGCCAAGAGATTATAATGGTCTTGACTATGCCCCTGCACCCAGTGAACTTTTATGTTGATGGTTGTCTTCTGGTGTAGAAGGTGGATCTGCTGACATATTTGTAGCGTCTGGGTAACTTGTTTCAAATGCTTAATTGAATTTAGCGAGTCAGTGTATATGTGAGCTTCCTTGATGTCTGGCAGACCGATGACAGCTTTGATCGCGTCGTGTATAGCTTGTAGCTCTAGTAATAAAGAGTCTGGTGTGTCCGACTTGTAGTTACAGGTGGCTTGAATCCCGGGGTGTGATGGGCTCACGAAGGCGACCCGTCCTCCCTGCGGCAGAACTGCTGCGTCCGTGTAGACCACACATTGGCCCTGAGGAATGGTGGTTTCAGTGGTTGGAGCTGGTTGGTCGCTTCGTCGAAGCTTCGTTGTCTTGTTAGTGGTGATATTAGTATCACACCACGGTGGGATGTCGTTCAGTGTCACAGTCAGGGGAGGCCCTCCGTAGAAGTAGGAATGAAGAGCTGCTGCCGCCGAAATGTGCTTGCGTTTGAGTATTCTTGCTTCTTCGCGCTGGTTCACCAGCTCCGTGAGAGTATTGAGCTGAGCGTGCTCTTGCAGTGTTGGAATCGGGGTAAGACGAGGGAGTGCCGTGGTTGCTCTCATGGCATCTCTATTGACCACCTCAAGTCTTGCCCATTGTTGAGAGGTTAGTCGTTGGAACTGAGCCTGGTAAACAAGACGTGGTTGGAGAACTGAGCGAACGAGGCGGCGGGCCACCTCAGTCCGGGCTCCGCCGCTCCTTGGTGCGATTCTGCGAATCAAGTGCAGAGTTGTGGCCGACGATTTTTTTGCCTTTTGGAGCCTGTGGGTACCAGAGCCAGACTGATGGATGTCAAGCCCAAGCACCCTCAGTTCTTCAGTTTCAGGTATAGTCGTTGGACCGATCTTGAGATGAAAGTTGGACTTGGAGGCCAATTTCCTGCCCGACTTGTTGGCCACCTGCGTATAGCAGGACTTTTGGGGAGAAATTTCAAGTCCAGCGGACTGCGCATATGCGTAAAGGACATCAAGAGCATCCTGTAAGTGTTGTCGTTGCGTGTTGAGGTCCCTGTGGGTAGACCACAGTGTGACGTCGTCTGCGTAAATAAGAAATTTGATGTTGGGGATGTCCTGTAGGCTCCATGCCAGAGGCATGAGTGCAATGTTGAAAAGCAGGGGCGCAAGGACGGAGCCTTGCGGTACCCCGCGG